CACGGGAACATCCTTTTGGTTTACTGTAGAATCATTTTCTATGCTTTGTGGAAAATTCTGTTTTATGCAATCTGAGACAGTATTTGAAAGACAAAGGAATGAAATGCTACAGGTAATAAACCATGATAACAATCTGGGAGTAGTAACTCTGATTTACCTGGAAGTATTCAGTTGCATAGCACCATTTCTTAATGGATGAAAAATATAATTTCCTTTAACAAGAACTAAGGAGCAAGTAGCCTTATTTTAAAAAGCCACAAGCTTTGTCTGAGAACTAGTCATCCTATCACTGAAGCAGGACAGCTAAGACATTACTCTCTTCACCTTCAAACCTTCCAGAGCACCTACCATGGTGCTCTGAATAGAACAGAGACAGACGTGCTTTAATTAATTATATATTACACAGACTACCAGGGAAAGCAATGGTGTGCATAGTAACAGAGGCACTTTGCTTAGTTTTTTCTTTAAGATCAAGATAGCCAAATTCTAATGTATCATGCAAATATAATCACAAGACATAACAACTAGGAACTGCAGGGGTTGTCATCATTTTCATAATGCGTAAGCATATTAGTAATATATGAATTCAATCTCGAGTGAAATCCTACCAAAACATCCCAAGGAAATACACACTAAGTGGCAAAACTGAAAACGGCACATCTGCGGGACACGCACCAGCACACGTGCCACTCTCCCAGGCACTCTGGGCTTGCGGCAGACCCCCACCCAGACACGGCCTCTCGAGGCAGCAGGGAAGGCCCGACCCAGCAAGGACTTAGGAAAGAGGCTCGTTCTGCCCTGTATCTTCATTTTGGGAAGCCTGATCAGCAACAGAAAAGCATTTCATTTTGTTTTTGGCAAACTACAGTGAAATTTTATGTAAAACGCCATAAATAAATTGCTCTAAGTTTATTTTCTGTGGAGGCAGCATGTGCAAGCACAGTCCTTAACTGGGAGTTAAGAAATGTGGATTCCTGATGGTTCTGGCTGAACCACTCTTCAGGTGGGAAAACATACCTTGTGATGTTGTAAAGACTGAAGACCCATTGCAAGAGACTGCTATTCCAGTCACTGCCCTGTTTAGAAACAAAGTTTTGTAAATTAATACCAGTCATGTGCTGGGACATCTGCTTTGTCCTAAGTCCTTGATTTAATTTTTCCAAGTTTCCTCGATTTTTTTCTTCACAGCTTG